GGGGGGGGGGGGGAGGGGGTGAAACCAAATTAGAGGGTATGGACCCCCAAAAGGAGGAATTGACTCCAAAAAAGGGAGGAATGGCCCCTCAAAAGGGGGTAGGGTGGGGTGCAGTGTGATGCCGTGTGGTGCCATGTGTTAGCATGTTGTGCCATGTGATGCCATGTTGTGCCATATGGTGCCATGTGGCTCTGTGAGGTGCCATGTGTTGCCATGTGGTTCCGTGTGGTGCCATGTGGTGCCGTGCAATGCTGTGTGGTGCCCTGTGTTAGCATGTTGTGCCATGCGATGCCATGTGATGCCGCATGGTGCCGTGTGATGCCATGTGGTGCCATGTGTTTGTTAGTGTGTGGTGCCATGTGGTGCCGTGTGGTGCCATGTGGTGCCATGTGATGCCATGTGTTTGTTAGTGTGTGGTGCCGTGTGGTGCTGTGTGGTGCCATGTGGTGCCGTGCAATGCCGTGTGGTTCCACGTGTTAGCAAATTGTGCCATGTAGTGCCATGTGGTGCCATGTGTTAGCATGCAGTGCCATGTGGTGCCATGTGGTGCCATGTGATGCTGCATGGTGCCATGTGGTGCCACGTGGTTCTGTGAGGTGCCATGTGGTGCCATGTGTTAGCATGTTGTGCCATGTGGTGCCATGTGATGCCATGTGATGCCATGTGATGCCGCATGGTGCCATGTGGTGCCACGTGGTTCTGTGAGGTGCCGTGTGTTGCCATGTTGTGCCATGTGGTGCCATGTAACGCCGTGTGGTGCCACGTGGTGCCAGACAGCGGCACGTCGAGCTGCCACAAGGCAGTGCAGTGTCCCCGTGTCCCTTACCTGCTTGGGTGCGGGCGCTGAGCACCGCCAGCAGCAGGAGGACAGCAGCAGCAGTAGCAGCAGCAGCAGAGCAGAGCATGGTGCCCTATGGACTTTGTCCCACCCCGCGGTGTCACGTGGGCGCTGTGCCCTGTGTGCTCGGGGGGGGGGGGGCAAAATGTGCACATGTGCGTGCCGTGTGTGTGCAGTGGGTGCACACGTATGTGTGCAACGTATGTGCACTGTGCGTGCCTGCACATGGGTGTCTGTGAAAGGGAGGTTTGCATGTGTGAGCTCGTGTGCAGGCATGGGGTGCACGTTTGCACACATGCACACGCGCAGGTGCCTACATGCACGCGTGTGCACGCGTGTTCCTGCTGCATTGGTGCACACAGCGCTGTCACACCCAGCTCCTGCACGACTGGTCGAACTGGATCCCAGCGTGGGGGTGGGGTTGATGCAGAAAGCACAGGGATTAAGGGGAGGGAGGGAGGGATGGAGCTTCCAGGACACATGCATGGTGTGAGGATGGCACCGGGACACGCGTGGAGGGGACAACGCCACCGGGACACACACGGTGGCACAATGGCACCGGGAAGCACGTGGTGACACCACATGACAACAACGTCACACCGTCACCCCGACCTTCGCCCCTGTTTCGGTGTCACTCACCAGCAGTGACGATGGTGCCGTCCTGGCTGCTGGTGGCCCTGCTGGTGACCCTGCTGGTGGTCTGGCTGAGGGATGCAGCGGCTGCTGTCACCCGTTTCCGGGCCACCTGCCAGCAGCTGCGTCACTTCCCTCTGCCACCATGGCGCAGCTGGCTGCTGGGACACACCGGGATGGTGAGGGGGAGCGGGTGGGGGGTGGCATGGGGGTGACAGCAGGGACGGGGTGGTGGCATTTATGGGGTGACAGAGGGAACCAAGTTGTGGTACTTAGGGTGATGGTAGGGAGAGAGCGGTGGCTCTTAGAGGGGACAGAGGGGACAGAGTGGTGGCACTTGGGGAGGTCACAACGGGGACAGGGACAGGGTGGTGGCACTTGGGGAGGTCACAATGGGGACAGGGACAGGGTGGTGGCACTTGGAGTGACAGCAGGGACGGGGTGGTGGCACTTATGGGGCAACAGGGGGACAAGGTGATGGCACTAAGGGAGACAGAAGGACAAGGTGGTGGCAATTGGGATGACAGCAGGGACAGGACAGTGACACTTATGGGGTGACAGAGAGGACAGAATGGTGGCCCTCGAGGGGGCATTGCAGCACTAGGGTGGTGGCATGTAGCAGGGACAGAGGGGACAGGATGGTGGCACTTAGGGTGACAACAGGGACAGGGCAGTGGTGCTTAGGGGGTGATAAAGAGGATGGAGAAGTGACACTTGGAGTGGTCACAGCAGGGACAGGGTGGTGGCACTTAAGGGGAGATAGCAGCAGTAGGGTGGTGTGGTGGCACTTAGCAGGGTTGGGGGGACAGGATGGTGGCACTTAGGGAGTGACAGCAGGGACAGGGTGGTGGCACTTAAGGGGGACAGAGTGGTGGCACTTAAGGGGGACAAAGTGGTGGCACTTGGGATGACAGCAGGGACAGGGTGGTGGCACTTGGGGTGGTGATAGGAACAGGACAGTGACACTTGAGGGGGTACAGTGGTGACAGAGTGGTGGCACTTGGGATGATGGCAATGGCAGCATAGTGGCACTTGGGCTGTTGTTACCTGGAGTGACAGTGGGGACAGGGCAGTGACACCCTGGGGGTGACAGCGGGGACATGGGGGTGGCCATATAGATAAGTGACAGTGGCACACGGGTGGGTGACAGAGGGGACACAGCGCTGGCACGGAAATGTGACCCCGAGCCCATCCATGACCTTGGGGACAAACACGTCCCCAAGGTTGGATGCAGCCCTGGGGACAGCCAGGCGTGTCCCCACGTGCGTCCCTAACGGCGCAGGCACGGAACACGGAGGAAGGACTGCAGGATGTGGACAAGATAGTGGCACAGTACCGTCATGGCTGCCTCTGGTGGGTGTCCCCATGGCTGCCGGTCCTCCGCCTCTTCCACCCTGACACCCTCCGCCCCGTGCTGATGGCCTCAGGTAACCCAAGATGTGGGCATGGGGGGACGTGGGGGACACCAACCTATGGGTCCCCATGGCCATCGCCTGGAGGTGCCGCCTGTGCCCAGACGCACATCCTATGGCGGCCATCAAGCTGTCCCCAAGGGTCCCCAGATCCCAAAATATGACCGTGTCCCGCGGTGCTCTGTCTCGCAGCTTTCATTGCCCCCAAGGACAAACTCTTCTATGGGTTCCTTAAGCCCTGGCTGGGTGAGTGGGTGCCCGGGGATGGGGAGGCAGCACCCATGGGTGCCCCCATGAATGGAGCTGAGTGTCCTGCACAGGGGATGGGCTGCTGCTGAGTCGTGGGGACAAATGGGCCCGGCACCGGCGCCTGCTGACACCTGCCTTCCACTTCGACATCCTCAAGTCCTACATCAGCATCTTCAACAGCAGCACCCACATCATGCACGTGAGCCAGACCCTGATTCCTGATCTGCACACAGATCCTGGTTCCTCACCCAGATCCTTGCCCAGATCCCCCAGTTCCTGACCCCATCCTGCGCCCACATCCCAGTTCCTCACCCACATTCTGGTCCCTGACCCAAATCCTCACCCAGTCATTGGTTCCTGACCCCATCCTGCACCCAGATCCCAGTTCCTCACCTGGATCTT